CTCTCTTTCCTACTTTAATTCTCTATTTTCGATTTATAATTTTAATTTTTAAATTTCTGAATTTTTCATTTTTAATTTTCTGTTTAGAAGAATTTTCACATTTGCTAATTTTATTACTTTTCACTTTTTACTTTACGCGTTTAGTTGGTTAATTCTTTTGGACAATCAAATTTCAGTTATCTTCGAGCAAATAGTAATACCATTTGAAATTTTCATTTAAACGATCGATTGATCCACGCGTATTCGAATGCCGTTTCTGTGAATTTTAACACGAAATTACATAGCAAGCTCTAGATTCGTTCGTAGCCTGAACGAGCAAACTGCGTGATCGTAGCTTGTCATAACCGTTCTTGTTTCCTTATTTTTCATTTCAAGACCTCTAATTTGCATAAATTTCGCGTATACAATTTCGTTTCTATTTCTATACCACGCTACGTTATCCTGCACAAGGATCGTCGTTAATAAATATTTCTCTAATTTCAATTTTCCAATGAAATATTCGTCGATTCACGTGAAATTCTTTTTAAAATTAAAACCGAAAGGGGTCCAGATTCACATACGACGAATAAACGAAAAAAAAAAAGAGTTAATAGTATCATCTCTCTCGATAAAAAAATAATCCTAAATTATTCAAAAAAATAATCCCTAAAAGCTACGACTAATTAAAGAAAAAAGAAAAAAAAAGAAACTAGATATATCTCGTCAAGAAATATCATAGACGAAATATTTCATGATGGAATATTTTTAGTGCCACGCCACTGACGAAATTTTCAGCGATGCAATCTTTTGTGTGACGCTTTAAACAAATTATTTCGCGATCCAATATTGATACTGCGACATTGATTGACGAAATTTTTCGTCAATCAACATTTATAATGCGACGCCACTGACGAAATTTTCTGTAATGCAATCTTTGCTGCAATATCTTTTGTGCGATCCTATAAACAAAGTATTCCACGATGCAACATTTATAATGCGACGCTACTAACGAAATTTTCGGCAGTATCTTTTATGCAACGCTAAAAACGAGATATTCTGCGATACAATATTGACAGTGCGACGCCACTGACGGAATATTTTGCAATGTAACGTTGGTAGCGCAACGCTGTGAATGAAATATTCCGCCATATTGATAGCGCGACGCCATGGATACAACATTTTTCATTTAATAGACAAGATATCTCGCGATTTAATATTGTTAACACGAAATTTTGCGCGATGCAACATCGATAGTGTGACGCCACTGACGAAATATTCCGCGATACAACATTGATAGTGCAATACTGTGAACGAAATATTCCATATTGATAGTGCGACGCCATGGATACAATATTCTTCATTTAATAACGACGAGATCGCCGACAAGATATTTTGTGATACAATGTTATCGATACCGTGCCATACACGAAATTTTCCGCTACGCAACATCGATAGTGCAACGCCATTAACAAAAATTTTCCGCGATGCAATATCTTTTGTGCGACGCCATGTGCGATGCAACATGTTGATAGCGTCATGGATTAAATATTCCGCTATATTGATAATGCGACGCTATGGATGCAACATTCCTCATTTAATACCAGACAAGATATCTCGCGATACGATATACGAAATTTTTGCTATGCAACATCGATAGTGCGACGCCACTGACGGAATATTCCGCGATGCAACATTGTGCAACGGTGTGGACGAAATATTCTGCCATATTGATAATGTGACGTCATGTATACAATATTCTTCATTTAATAGACAAGATATCTCGTGATACGATATACGAAATTTTCTGTTATGCAATATCGATAGTGCGACGCCACTGACGGAATATTCCGCGATACAACATTGGTAGTGCAATGGTGTGGACGAAATAACCTGCCATATTAATAGTGTAATGCCATGGATGCAAAATGCTTCATTTAATACCAGACAAGATATCTCGAGATACAATTTGTTGTTAGGACGAAATTTTCTGCTATACAACATTGATAGTGCGACGCCACTGACGAAACAATGCGATGTCTTTTGCGCGGCGACATAGACGAAATGTTCCACGGTGCAACGTTGTTAATGCGATACCGTGAGCGAGATACCTCGTCCTTGCTAGCAAACGGGTTAATTTCCTCCCGTTATCGATTCATCTACGTCCAACGTAAATCCAAAGGAATCGAATGCGTCGAGTCGTGGGTCTCGAAAGAGGTGAAACTAATCAATCGACTCCCCGTCACAATCAATTCGAATATACGCGGTACATGAGTTGGAAAGCTTTGAACACGATCCATATGATCGGATCAGCGACGCCTCGGGAAATCGCGATACCTGTATATACCTGTGCAACCTGTTGTATCCGGGAGACTGATCGATTTATTCAGCGTCGAATTATCGTGGCAAAGGGCCGCTGTAATTTCAGATTCTACGCGAGCTGTAGCGTAACGGGAGAAACCAAAGTTGCTCGGGATAACGATCATCTTTGAATATTTCATACCCTTGATGGAAATTCTAAGATAAATTGCGAGATGAAAAGATCATGGTGGTGGAATGAAATATCGCTCGTTCTATCGCGTCCAACGGTGGAGATCGATGGATAAAAATTGTGTATTCAGACGGCGAAAAAAATTTCAATGAATCTTCTGAATTTACTTCGTCAACAATGTTGCGTGAAAATTGGAACGTAAATTTTTAAATCGATAATTTTTAAATTGGATGAAAAACTTATTTTATGCTTTCTGTCTGTCGAACGAATATAAATAATTGCCTATTATTTCGTACGTAACTCTTTCTAATAATTCTCCAATCTCCGGATTTCTTTAACTATTTTCTTTAATTATTTTATTCATTCCACGAGCCTTTCTATTCTCAACGTCCCAATTTCTTCGTCAACATCTTTTTCTTTTTCTTCTTCTTCTTCTTCATACTTGAAATACTGATAAAAAAATATTCCTTAACCTTTAAGAGAAAGTTTCCTTAACGCAGTGAATCACATTTGCCACTCCAATTATTGTTCTCGTTCGAACGAAGAAAAGCAACCGGCCCGTCTTTGTTATTCCACCAGACGAGATTGGAAAGCTTTCATCGGCGAAAAACTTTAATTTCGGCCTCGATGGAATCTCCATTCCAGCAAAATTTCATTTCGTTAAGAGAACGATTCGCGAGAAATCGATTTTCTAATTCCACAACCTCTCCTCCCCTCCTGTTTCGTCTCCGAGTTTTTTTCTCGCCTAGAAATTTCGAATCGAGAATCTACAACTTCCAAGCGAGCTTTGGATTCTCGCAAGAATTAGGAATTACGCGTTAAAATCGTGTCACAGAAAGTCGACAACACGGTCGCGTATGATGTGACGTGAACTGTAATGAATAGCACGGTATTATGCTTATCAGTTACTCTTAGTGCTTATTTTAGACGCGTGCTTAATTTCTCTGTATTAGACATTACTCTCGTTTGTAAATAAGCGTTAGGACGACATTAGGACGTTGGTAGATTGTTGCGTGAAACGCAAACTTGCGTTGAAAATTAAAACGTTAATTTTGTGCTTTATACGTTGCAGGTCGATGGCACGTGACACAGTCTCAGTGGAACGAGGAAGAATTGGTCAGACTTTGAAATATAGACATATTGAAATATTACTACTATGGATTTACTAAAGCAATGGAGTTCTAGTGGACAGAGAATGATTAATGCAGGAAATTGGTCAGACCCTTGATATAATATTCAATTTGAATTGAAAGATATTAAAATTATCAGAGAGAAGAATGCGAAGAATGATTAATGGAGTTTTAAATGAATGAAAATTGATTATTGCAGCAATTGATTAGATGTTAAAATATAATCCAATTTATGTATTAAAACATTATGAAAGAGAGTAAGTAAATGGACAAGAAATGTAGTAATTGGAATATAACATTGTTCAATTTAATTCAATTTAAAATTATTAAAGAATCCTTCCAAAGAATAATTATAATGAATAAAAAGTGGTAAGTGTAAAAATTGATAAGATTTGAATGTAACTCAACTTATGAGATATATTGAAACATTATTAGAAGGATAATATTAGTGCAGGAATTGATCAGACTTCTTAATTTATGAGAGATAATTAGTGCAGGAATTAATATACTTTCATTTGGTAAACAAATGAAATGCAATATTAATAGAAGGATTTTCCAAAGAAAAATAATGGACAAAAAGAAGATAATGTAGAAATTGGTTAGACATTGGAATGCTCAACATACTGAAACATTACTGGAGAAAACTTTTTAACAAACTAGGTGAAGTTTTACAACAATACTGGGACTCATGACAATTTCTTGACCCACTAACAAACAGTCATAGACGAATGGAGTAGAAGATAATATTTCATCTAGTCCCATATTGTGAGGGATTAAGGGCAATAAGTTCAAAAATACTTAAGACTTCTATGCTGGACGCGAACACGACAATAAAGTTTCTCCATTTTACTTCCATACCAAGATTACTTTTCATATGAAATTGAAAACACAGCTATATATAATAATTCGATATGGTAGGAAATTTAATCAAATTCCCTAATCAAAACTTACACTTTCATCTGTAGTAATAGTAGATACTAATTGTGATGTATATTAGTTTAATAGAAATGAAATTTTGTAAAAGTAAAATTACAATGAAAGATCGTAGATTAGTGGACTATTTAAAGTTTCGTATAAATGGAATTCTACAGAAGAAATTTGATGAAAGTGCATATCTCTTATCTCGATTTGATTAACCGACCAGATTATTTTTAGCGACTGGGTTCCATTAAGAACGGTGGAAGTTTGTTAAAGATACCGAGTTATCGAGCATCGCTTATAATTCTAGCCAACATTCTACCCGTGACCTGGCCCATTGTGCACTTTAATCAGGTATCTGTGACCTGCTACGATAACGTTAGGCCACTGTCCAGGCTCTTGTATTTATCAACCCTGTAGATCTTGCATCTCTATTCTCCTTATATTTGGTTAAATACTCTCTTAACTAGACAACCATCATTTCCTCTCTCATTCTCAACTTTAACATTTTTTTTTTTCATTCTTTTCTTTTCCAGATATCCAGAATCAATCTATTATGGATTTTAACGTTTTTTTAAGTATGGTATAGAAATTTTTCTTAGACACACGTAACATATGCCTTCATCCATTTGGTGTCTATTATTATTTAACTATTGGATCTCAAATATTCATGAAATATGCCCAATATAATATTAGCAAATATTTCGAAAACTAAGGCTAATCGATTGTACATTTAACATCTTCTGCAATACGTTTAAAGATCAAAATATTAATATTATTATCAAAATAGGAGCGTCACGTGTCGACAGCTTCAGCATGTCGTATTATATAAATTATATGATAAAAATTTATAAAAATTTATGATATATTCATCAATTTTTCGCGCGAGATAGAGAGATCTAGGGACTTTGGCTCGCAGCAGTTGTTAAATGGAAAATTTATCGAATCGTAATGGAAACCCTACGGCTATTTGCGAAATATTCGTATCTATCTGCATTTGATGTTTTCCCAAATTGCCAAAATTTCGACGATGTAAATTTCATGATGCGCGCCTAAAATTTTTATAAATCAAATAATACCTCTACTTCCAAGTATATATATTAAACCTATTATCCGTTAATATTCAAATATCTGTATATTTTCGTAACTCCACTCTAGTTGATTATTTTGTAAATTATTCACCAAATTATTTTGGAGCAACTTAATATTGCGTTGACACAATTCTGAATTATACGATCGACTATATGGATATGGGGTATATATATATATATGTTATAATAATTAGGGAGAAAATTGCAGAGACAGTTTGCTATACGTTGTCCATTATATTAATAAACAATTAAGAGAGTGCATTAATTATCGACCTACCTATTTGCAAAAGATTTAATGATCAAAATTTGGTTAGGTACTCTCTATCGAACTCAGTAACCTTAAATACGTTACTGATAACTAGTCGATTTTCCAAGTTGGCAATTTCAATGTTCCTAGATATTAGATTATCAAACTGTATTAAAGATTGATTAATTAATAGCAAGATTAAATCAAGATATCTATATATGTTTTTAATCAAATAACTTCATTTTTAAATTTTAAAGTCGTTTTCGTTAGAAAATTTTTTCTCCAATCTGTTTTGCAAATGTTTATGTCAAAATTTGAAAATTTTTGATACGAATAGGAAAAAAGGATTTTTCATGAAAATAATTTCTATCCTTGATTGAAATTGAATTTTCGCGAGATTAAATATTTAAAATTTATGATTTAACGAAAATAAACTGCGAAAAAATCAGTTCGGTGAAATTTATCGATAGCTCGACGGAATTTTGTGGAATACTTTTTCACATATTTTCATATCAAACATAACTTTTTGTTAGAAGCAATTTTTATCGCGTAAAAATAAAAATTTCTGGGTTTTAACGATTACCTCGTGAAAATTCCAATAACCAAAATGAAGTTTGAATCAAATAACACTTTTGAATAATGTATTTTAATTTAACGAATATATTTTTTTTTTTTAGTTTATCATTGGAAACGTTTCAATAATCTCTGTTTCAATTATCATAATTAAAAAAAAAAAAAAAGAACGCGAAAAAAAAATTTTTTAATTTCTAAAAATTAAATAAATTTATAAGTCGGATAAATTAACAACGATTTATAAAAGATAAATATTGGACAAATTTAAGATAAATTAATTCTATCCGGATAAATTAGCGATTCGCTTTGATTTCGCTTTGATTTCGAAATTCTGTGCAGTTATCGAATTCACGAGATATATTATTTAATTTGATTTATCGATGGACAGGATCGGAAATATAGTGGTTTGTGGTCAGCGATAGTGAAATTCTATAAGTACATATACGTTTATACTACATACACATAAGTACCTGTTGCTGATTTTCCCTCTGCGTGGTTAGACGAGCCTCGACGCATTGTCTAGTCTCCAGGAAGGCTTGTCTTTGCGCCAGTTCTCGAGGATGATGCGTCAACACCCCGGCCATGTTCGTCCCACCAACCACCACAATGGAGCTTAATAACTGCAAAGATGAAGATAGAAATTTATAATTTAAAAAGGTAAAAAACAAATAATTGGAAAAGAATGATGATGTATGTTTGGTAATTTAATAAGTATCTTGATGAGTACTTATAATAAATATCTTATAGAAAGAAAATCTATTTGAAATAATATTAGAATTGGAAAAATTTAATAATTGTGTGAATACAATCCATGGAAAACAAATAAAAGGTTTAATAAATTTAAGAAGGAAAGAAGGAAAGGTAAAAGGTAAAGTGGAAAACTTTTTGCTGAATGAATATATTTATTTGAATTGGACAATAAAAATGTGATGACAATGATTTCCAGGATATTAGAATTAGAAAGATTTGACAAATATTTTACTTTCTCGCATCTTGATGTACTTTATAAAACAAAAGTGAAGATTAATTAACGGGAACATCAAAGGAACACAGGTTTACCTCAAATTTGGACAATGTAGATATAGAAAAGACCCAAGTAACGATATCATCCCACTCATGGGGGTCTATATTAAGAAAAGAGAGCATGAACAGGGGTTTTTAGTGGGTCGTCATACAACATCTCGTAACAACCCTACGCAAAGATACGGGTCAATGGATATGCTTTAGTGCTTTTTTCCCCTTCTTACGAAAAAAATAATAATGATAAAAAAATAAAAAATACGACGATCAATCATTAAACTATTTCATATTTTTTATTCAAATGAAACAAAATGTCTGGAATCAAATTAACATAGCATGTTCATGACATAAGATGATAAATATTAATGATTCACCATAATAAATACTTTACTGAGTTCTTTAAAAGTATTCTATTTATCGTTGAATTACACGATAATGAAGATATTAGATATTCCTATTTTTTTTTCAAGTTTATAAGATCGTACAATTTAAATTATTAAAAAAAAAAAAAAAAAGCAATCGCGACGAAAAAGATATTAAACGAATATTCAAAAGTTTGTAAGAAATTCACAAATAAACACATAATATTGATCATTGACACGTTTATAATTTATGGAGACAAGGAAAATATAAAATTATAATTTTTTTTCACAAATTAGCAAGCGTAATAAATTTGCAAATTAACTTGTTAATTATTATTAAATTTGAAATTAACGAACGTTTATATATATATATATATATAACGTATGATGAGACGAGAAGAGAGTGTAAAATTGTAATGTTGAAAAAAAAAGCAAAAAAAGAAAGAAAGGAGAAAGAAGTTGGCACAACCTGGTTCAAAAATAATGAGAATTATTTGCATATGCATACGCTTATTTACATAGCAGCCTGGTGGGGGCAGTTTCTGAGAGCCGGCCGAAATTTCCTTGGCGAAAAGTAAGCATCGCAGGGTCAAAGGAGAGGTTTATCGAGTTTACGAAGTTGGCAGCAGTTCGATACACGATAGCATACTAATTGCAAAGCCCACTCTAATTAAACCGTGGCGGTGCCGGTGCAGGAAACACTTGCACAAACGCGTATCTCTTTGACGTGACGTCGCTTTTGGATCGACGTTGCCGGCCACTCGTGATGCTTCCTTTGGATTTCCATTTCGATGTAGACCGAGCTTTACATCTATATCGCTTTTAACATTTTCATTGACTTTCGGCTCGATTCGCGTTTGATATATTCGATCGTGTGTGGGAAGTGTAAGTGAAAATGATGCGATCGCTTGGAGGATAATTGGAAATTTTTAACACTTTAGTTGAAAATATTTGGAAATTTAAAAATTTTAATATTCTGGTTGAAAATAGTTGGAAATTTAGATTTTAGAAATTTATTTTTTAGAAATTTTAATATTCTGATTGAGAATAATTGAAAATTTTAATATTTTATTTGAGAATTGGAAATTTAGAAATTTTAATATTTTGATTGAGAATAGTTGGAAATTTAGAAATTTTAATATTCTAGTTGAGAATAATCGGAAATTTTAATATTTTATTTGAGAATTGGAAATTTAAAAATTTTAATATTCTGGTTGAGAATAGTTGGAAATTTAGAAATTTTATTTGAAAATATTTGCAAATTTAGAAATTTTAATATTTTGCTTCAAATAGTTGGAAATTTAGATTTTAAAAATTTATTTTTTAGAAATTTTAATATTCTGATTGAGAATAATTGAAAATTTTAATAATTTTATTTGAGAATTGGAAATTTAGAATTTTAATATTCTAGTTGAGAATATTTGGAAATTTTAATATTTTATTTGAGAACTGGAAATTTAAAAATTTTAATATTCTGGTTGAGAATAATTGGAAGTTTAGAAATTTTATTTGAGAATATTTGGAAATTTAGAAATTTTAATATTTTGATTGAGAATAATTGGAAATTTAGAAATTTTGTTATTTTATTTGAGAATATTTAAAATATTTTATTCGCTTTTTTTTTCAATTAATCTTTTCTCCTAAAATTTACCTATATCAATATCCTACATTGATCGATTCGATTTTTATTCAATTCATTAACACAAACGAATTTTCGGAAATTCAAAAATTCAAGTAACTTATAATATTTGAAAATTTCTAAATTGATCAATTGAATCAAAATGGAATCAATGACTGTTACGTGAAATCAATTTTGGGATAAATTGGTTAATCTAAGATTAGATTTACAAGTGTTGATAATTTTGGAACTAATGAAATATAAATTGCATTATTTAGACCGCGAGAATTACAGAAATCCAGAACGTATGGAATATGGAAATTTAATTTAATATAAATATATGTAAATGAATTGAATTAAACTTGGTTCAATAAATTTATGGTATGCAGAGGAAAATGTTAATTTAATTACGTTAATGTAATTTGGTTTAGAAACATCCCATCGCTTTTATCCCTTATCAAATGCACGATAGTAATTTCCTTTCTCCCTTTCAAACACGAGTTTCAAAAATTTACAAGGATTTTCATTTACAAAAGTTGATATTCACATTTGTCTCTTCATAAAAATGAATTATTACTATAACACCTAACCCCACATTTTTCATTTATTTAAATTGATATTTTCTTTTTATTTAGAACCAAAACCTTAAATATCCTAATTATAGAAAATCCAGAGAAGAATCAAAAATCGTAGATAACCACTTTAAACGTAATATAAACCATCTTTTAATTTTTGCATTCAACATTCAACATTCAACCTTATCGTCGACCAATAATAGAATTTTAATAGGTTAGGTTTAATAGAAAATTGTAAAAAGACGCTTTATTGATTTTTAGTTGACTGATCATGTAGAAAAATTCGTTCGGATTCGTACGTACGTATAAATTGAACAGAATTGTTCAGATCGTTTGACAATTAAAGCATCCTTGACAATTATCAGTTAATAAATTTAATATTCGATAATAGAGGTCGCGACAAGCACAATCCAAATTTCACGCAAATGGACTCGTTCGAACGCTAATCGCACAAAATTAATTTTAATCCAGGATGGTTAATATTGCCGCGTTCCAACTTTAAATTTTTAACGTTGGAATTAAAGCGTGTGAAAGAGGATGGAGAAAAATTCGAGAGAAATTTCGACGGAAGGAAATTTTTCTACGCGTGAAAAATTTTAGAATTTATTATATACGATTTAATTCGAATCGTATAAAATACGAGAGTGCAATGTGGAAATACCTACGAGATTGAAAAATGGACGAAATTGCGAAAAAAAATTTACGAATAATTACGAGATCGCGAATGGAAAGTCACGAAAAAAGGAAGATGAATTTTACCAGTTGAATTTCATTCTCGACGAGGGTCATATAACACGATTCAGAAGTCTGTCAAAGAAGTTTTCTAATCGTATATTTCTAACGATCGTCGGTCAAACGAATTGATCCGCAACCACCTGTAGGATTTCTCAAATCCCTTTCATGCTCTTCCACTCTTCCAACTAATTTTTCTTTCTCCTTTTCCACTCTTCTTTTTTAAATACACGCCTGCTCTGTATGTATGTGCGTGTGTGTGTGTGTGTGTGTGTGTGTATATATAAAACGACTTATTTCGTATTAAAAAATTTCGATGTTTCTCTGTCTTTTTTTTTTTAATATAAATTTGTTAACAATAAAAACAATTTAATTCGTTTCGACGAACACGAAGCCACGTTATTTTTTCGTTTATTACAATGGAAAAATTGGTAAACGATTTAAAAATTATTACATGGTTTTTATTAATATCATAGAATTTCCAATATTTATTTCGTTTGAATAAAAACAATGGAATATTTTGTAACAAACTCGAGAAATTTTTTTTTTTAAACGGATGTTTTTCTCGCAGCTATTGTAATCGGTTAGCTCGTCTCTTCCTTCCTTTTTTTTCAACAAGGAGGAAGGGGGAAGAACGAAAATAATGGACGGACGGATAGTGGTATTAATAATTAAAATAGCTCGTTTGCCTCTATAATTACGAACGAAAGGGGATTCAACAGAGAGGTTCGAAGGTGAATGTTTAAAATTCTCGAATTATCGTCCGATTATTATGCACAAGGACCACGTTTCGTATCCACCTTTCAACCTACTTATTCATTCAACTACGTATCTAAGGGATTACTTATTCGCGTCTCCGTTAAGCTCGCATCTTCAAAGAAAAATTTGCAAAGATTGCAAAAAGATTACAATCGTGCATTCATGCAATTATAAGGAAATCATTGTTCATCGAGTATCGTTTGTAAAGAGAATATAAATGATTGAGTAATCATTTTCTAAACTTCCTTTTTTTTCCAAACAGAGAATTATCGTCGACGACGATAATTCAAAGAGAATCGGGCAGATAAAATTTGCGAACTCGCGAGCAAATTGCTACGTAACCATCGATCGAGATGGTTTCTAAAGGGATGCGAGCTTGGAATAGTTCTTTCCTCGAATTTTGAAAGAGAAATTTGAAAGTAAAATTTGAAAACGCGAGTTAGACATCTTGGCAGAGGTGGTAATAGAGGTGGGGAGTTTGCAAGTTGCACGGTGGATTGCGTGAAATATTTCATGGGTGTGCTGGTGACTTTTTTTTTTTCACCAAATGAATTTTGGACGATCTCAAAGGCGGCTGATAATTGCAAAATTGTCGGATTAAATTCGTCCTGGTTTTTTCCTCGAGTTATTTAACGCAAATTGGATATTCAAACTTAATACCTTTGTCTTACACGGGATACGTGTAATTGCATGGAATTTTTTCGTCTTCAATATGGATAATTGTTGATTGTTTTTTGTTCCAGTTTTGTTTCAATTTCTTTTTTTTTTTTGACGATTATAAAATCGAGACTTTTTTTTTTCTTAATAATTGTAAATGATAATTTTTTAATAAACGCGAGTTTTAATTTTCGAACGAAGATCTTGAAAGGAGAGGAGAGGGATGATTGGATTTCGCGATTCCTCGCACAAGAGTCAAAGCACATTTTCAATTGCGATTCCTTGAAAGAAAATAGATAATCGAATTTCACTGTACTCTCTTTCCTCTCAAACAAACTCCTCTCTTTTCTTTATTTCGAAAGGAAGTTCGATAGCTGCAAAAATATTCTCTCTCTTCTTTTTTTTTTTTTTTTACGGGCAAAATTCTCAAAATTTCAAAATCCTGGCTGAGAATTTCACCCGTTGTTTTTCTATTTTCAAAAATTGGGGAGGGAGGATGTGAGAGAAGTAAAACTTAAGATACTTAAAGTAACTAGAAAAAGAAAAAATTTTCTAGGG